TATGCTTCTCATACTGGTGAAATAGCGGAGTTGACAGGAGAGTGCTTGGCAGTTGATTCATCATGTCTATGCTAGACTCAATAAATCAACCCCCACTGGATTGATCATTGCCTTCCTCAAGCCAAATAATGGACTCCAAATCAGTGTTTCTAAGTAGAATATAGAAAAAAATCTTTGCTAGGTGTTCTGTCCTGAGAGGCTTTGCTTCTCATACTGGTGAAATAGCGGAGTTGACAGGAGAGTGCTTGGCAGTTGATTCATCATGTCTATGCTAGACTCAATAAATCAACCCCCACTGGATTGATCATTGCCTTCCTCAAGCCAAATAATGGACTCCAAATCAGTGTTTCTAAGTAGAATATAGAAAAAAATCTTTGCTAGGTGTTCTGTCCTGAGAGGCTTTAAAAAATTACTGCACTGGAAGGCTTAATCATTGGGCACTTGTGATCATGATATGGTTGAGTGGGTGGTACAAATCGGAGTGCCATCATATAAAACTATAGACACTATCTTTGGGTGTGTCAGCATTTTGAGCTGGGATGTAATTCCCAGCTGGAGGATACATACATGCACTAGCTCAGAAAATTAGCACGCTTAAAGGTAGTGTTGCAGCAATGGTGGGTGTGGCTAGCCCTATCTCTCAGATGGTAGGCTTGTTCTTGGGAAGTCTAACCCTTCTTCTTGCCTGTGCTACTGTGGCTTCAGTGTATTTATAGCATGCTAGCTTGATGGAAGCTAGTTGTGGGTCTGTCTCCTGGAGCAGGGAATTTCAGTCCCAGCTTGAAGTGCAGACGTGCCCTTTCCGAATGACAAAACCAAAGTGATGGTGGGGTATGTTATATGTGTATGTATTGCAGCAAAAAGCAGTTTCCAGAGGAAGAATAAACATGGGCAAGATGCATCAAACAAATAATCTCTGCAACTCTTTCTAATTCTAATACGTTCTGAGAAGTTTCTCATTGTTTTATATACGAGTGTCAAGTACACTAAAACAGGTGGTTCGTTCATGTGAGGGTGTCCCATACCTGATAACCTGCTTATGTGACTGGACCTTGTTAAATTAAAATAGGGTTTGTGTGAGACTTCGGTTGTGATTTTTTACATTGCATCTGATGAGTTAATGATACCTTGGTAAATAAAAATATTATAGCAGTAGTCCTAGAATACATCTTGAGCTAATCAGAAGAGGCAACTTGATTTCAGGGTACTGGAGCATGTGGATTAAAAGGCACGAACACACCTTTTTCTTAATCATCCAATCACTGTCTTGTTGAGGGGAGAGAACAATAAGGCACAGACATGATTCTAGCAAAGAGAACAACCTATTTAAAGAAGATTTCTGCCCTTTATCATCTCTACAAGATTCTGTGGTTCTGTTTGAGAACTGGAGAAACAACAACTTCATGGTTTTAACTGAATTGTACTTTTTATATTCCTAAAATGTGCCCATCAGACACGTAGCTCTTTCATTCGTAATTTTAAATAACAAAAAACTCCAGTTGCAATGATCAATGGCCTACCCAGTGAATGGAACTTAACACAATTGTACCAACCCCAAATGTACTAAAATGGTGAATCAGGCCTCAAAAGCCCATGAGATTGACTTAAAGTTGCACAAGGGTTTTTTTAAAAGGTTCTTTCTCTTTGCTGTCTGGTTTTCTGCAGCTTTAGGACATGACTGGTCACATCTCCCAAGTTTTTCTCTACAAGCACCAGGGCTAGAAACATTTTTTTAAATTGAAAATAGGAGAATTTTAACATAGATTGAGATGCCCATGTAATTGCCTGGCTTGAAGAACTAGGCCTTCAAGAAAAACATCAGATATCATGAGGTGCATGACAAAACCACGAGAGCTGATACTATAAACACTTTCTCTACTACCATGTCTTCAGTCAAATGCCTGAGAAAACAGATGAACTTTACATTATGCCTTGAAAGAGAGCAAGATCTGACTTTGATTGACCAAAGAACACAGGGTATCTCCCCCACACCCTAACCCAGTCTCACATGCTAGGAATGACATTCAACCTTAAATTCTGGGAACTCTTACCAGAAACATCAAAGCCTATCATCTTTCTTCCATGGTGCACACTATTGCCAGGACCCAAACAATGCATGACTTCATAGATCAAACTTGAATTTGAAGTGCACCCTGAAGTAAGTTTAAAAGCCAGTGTGTGCTTTGGAGAGCGGATGTAATGCGATCGTTGCAGCTGCCACCATTAAGTGAACAGGTATTGGTTGTCACTAGAAATTGATCATAAGTCGCAGGTGAATTGTAGCCGGTTAATTTCCCAAGGCGCCAGAGTTGCAAGATGCATATTTATAGTAGGGTTTTTCACCCATTTCTGAGTTGCATTTATAATCCCTCATCCAAAGAAAGCCATTGCACTGACTTTATGACCACTGCCGACAGAATCCAAAGTTAATGGTATTGGATGGCTGGCCACGGTTATTAAATGGTGCAGTTGCACAACAATATCATGTTTTAATTCTAACATTACAGCTGGTAATAGTCTTTGGGCTGCTTTGATGCTTAGGCCGTGTTTCAGTTGTTGCTTCCTAAAAGAAAGAATGTGGAGTGAGGTCTACAACATAATCTTTTCTTTTAATTAAAGGCAAGTAGTGAATCTGAAAATGAGAGCCCAAAACGAAGAGGCCAGAAGCAAATGAGAAAACCGTAAGTCTCTATGGAGAGGGTTTTGAACTGTTTTGGTTTTATTCTCAGTTTTAGCAGGCAGTTGGCATTCTGCTGTGTTTGAGCAACACTGTAAAGATAAAAATACAGAAAAATAGTGTGATCTGTTTTCATTAATGACTCTTCAGATTATTAAAACTGAAACAACTTGCTGAAAGGACTAGGGAATTGGAACATGAAGGGAGTCCCTGCCATTTATAGAACGGTTTACTCTTTTGCACTTAGCTTCGTTGTGGAACTGGTCATCTTTGCTTTTTGCTTCTAGTTGGTTTCAGCTCTTTTGACTCTTTCGTGCACTCGCTTAATGAATCTCAGGTGCTTTCTCTCATTCCCAGTGCTGAGTAAGTGATTTATACAACAGTGCTAGGGTTGAATTTTCTGTCCCTTGTAGCTCATGCATTAAACGGGGTGATTGACGCTCTGTTTAGTCAGCCAGTGATGAAGTTCCACTATCCTGCCTGACTTCTGTTTTTTGTCCCTAGAGGTAAATGGAAAAGGCAGACTTCTGGGGAAGAAGAGGATGGTGGAGAGGAACAAGGCACCAGTGCTGACAGTGAACCAGAACAGAAGAAAGTTAAAGCCAGGAGACCAGTCTTGAGAAGGTGAGGAGGGATTGAATCTACTTACCTCTTATATTGTACTAGAAGATTTACCTGGCATTGCTCGGGTTCTTAACTCAATTTTTGTTTTTCTTCCTTTCAATCATTGCTCGGGAGTGGGGAGGAGGGGCTGGAGAAGAGGGGTTCGGGGTTCAGGCTGCTCCAGGGAGAGAGGACAGCCCCAGTGCATGTCCGGTGGCTGGTCCAGGTTTGTCTGCCCCCCGTGCTTCCCAGGCAGAATAAGGAATACAGCAAACTGCATTTTCCCTTTGCTCCCTGATGAAAGGGATCAGCCAGCAATGTTCCCATAGGAATCGGGCGGGGGAGAAGCTTCAGGCTTTCCTAAAGGGCAGCTGGGGATGGGATGTTTTGGGCTGGGGCAGTCCTAGATGGAGGTAGGGGGGTACCCCCAGCAAGCTCCTTTTGCCTGCCTGGTAACTCTGTCTCTTTTCTGTATGGTTTTATGAGAATCAATCCCATTCCAGTCACATCCCGTTTTCCTGGCACAACCAAACCCTTATCTTGCTTTGTTACAATAGGAGGAAACTATGTATTGCATGTGGTGGTCCTAGCTCTTACCATTTAGGAGGAGTTCTTGAACGCACATGTGTTCGTTCTCTCTCTCTCTCTCTCTTTCCCCCACTCCCTTACTAAATGATGGAATATCACTAATACACCAAAATTGGGAGTTTTTTTACAATTTCCCTGCAAGTTTTCGAAACATTAGGATGCTCTCAAGCCACATTTTTGAGCTTTTCTTCACAACCACAAGGGCTAAAATATAGCTTAACCCCCCTCCACCCAGAAGCTGAAATGCTTTCCCACATTAATATTATCCTTGCTTATTCTGTGGCCTGATTCACGTACACCAATTTCACACTGGTGTAACTATGGATCTTCGTGGAGTTGTTCCTGGCTTACACTGGTGTATGTGAGAGGAGATTTAGGTTCCAGGCATATGGGCTACGTCTACGCTGGCATGATTTTCCGGAAATGCTTAAAACAGAACAGTTTTCCGTTATAAGTATTTCCGGAAAAAGAGCGTCTACATTGGCAGGATGCTTTTCCGGAAAAGCCCTTTTTCCGGAAAAGCATCCGTGGCCAATGTAGACGCACTTTCCAGAAAAAACCTCCGATCGTCATTTTCGCAATCGGGGCTTTTTTTCCGGAAAAGACTACTTTGCTGTCTATACTGGCCCTTTTCCAGAACAGTTTTCCGGAAAAAGGACTTTTGCCCAAGCGGGAGCAGCATAGTTTTTCCGGAAAAGCAGCTGATTTCTTACAGTAGATCGTCAGTGCTTTTCCGGAAATTCAAGGGGCCAGTGTAGACAGCTCGCAGCTTATTCCGGAAAAGTGGCTGATTTTCTGGAATAAGTGGCCCAGTGTAGACACAGCCATGATGTTTTGGATATACGCTTCCTTGTGGACTGGGAAGTATTGCTGAAATGTGTTCCTTGTATACAGCCCACAGTATTATATCTTTTTATTAATACTCATTTTAGAGCAGTGGTCAAAGCCAGTGTTAAAAAGCCCCACAAGCCCCAGCGTGGTAAGAGGAGAAAGAAACAAGACTCATCTGAAGATGATGATGATGATGAAGATGATGAGACTCCCAAAAGGCAAACCCGGCGCAGAGCAGCCAAAAATGTCAGGTACTGCAGGATTTTAAAGTTACATAGTAATCAGTGATGCAGCTTAGAAGTCAGGATGTCTGGTTAATATCCGACTTGCTGCGTGATCTGTAGCCAGGCAAGGAGAACCATATGGGCAAATCCATGTGCTGCTTGGAGCCTCAATGCCTTTTGTGTGGAGTTTTTTTACAGGGTCAGGTTTTTGGTCATTTAACCTCTCTGTAGCTCATTGAATTCCTATGTAAAGCATACAGTACTTGCTTACTTCAAAGGGTGTTGGGAAGTTTAGTTGATACTTCCACAGTGCTTTGAGATCATATTAAAGATGCTATAGCAGTGTAAAGTATTAGAAATGGATGCAAAATTGCCAGGAGCAGATACTTGTTAGTAGCTAAAAGCTTGTAAAAGCTGAGATGGGTTCCCAGCATCTGGTGGGCACCTATGGAAGCCGTCAACGTGCTACCATTCTCAGATTTCAGGGAATAAACTAGCTTCTCACAAGTGAAGATAGAAAGAAATTTTCCTTATAGGAAGTTTATTCCATAACTGCTTACTGCTGGGTTTTTTTTGCCTCCCAAAGCAGCTGCTGCTGTCAGAGGCAGGAAGCTGAACTAGATGAACTGTGTAACTGTCCCTGTTAAGAAGCAGAGAGTAAGCTTTTAAGGAATCCGAATGGCAGATCTGAGAAACTCGAGCAATGTATTACACAGGCAAACCTAACATAGTTGCTAGAGGGTCTTGCCTGTGCCATGCCATGCTGCGTATGTATGGCTTTAGACTTAAGGAAAGACAAGCTTTTTACCCTCTTGATATGTGGTCTTTTGCAGTTACAAAGAAGATGATGATTTTGAGACTGATTCTGATGACCTGATCGAGATGACCGGGGAAGGGGTTGATGAACAGCAGGACAACAGCGAGACCATTGAGAAAGTCCTGGATGGCAGGGTTGGAAAGAAAGGAGGTGTGTAGCTTTGAGAGCCAGACTAGGATTTTGGGTCTAGCCCCATCAACACTCTGCATAATGCAGCTCAAGTGTTTGGGTTTTCCCCAGTGGAGAAGGATTTTTACATTTTCTCTTCCATAGTATTGACCCTCCCCCCCCAAAAAAATAATTCTAATAGATTGGTGAGGCGTGATCCCTCTACAAAAACTGGGTTGACTCTTCCCAAACAATGTGTTTATTTGGGTGTCTGATAATACTGTTTTCTAGTGTAGTTTTTATCTATTTGCATGATATTGAAGTTAGGATTACTGGGCTCTAATTGCCAAGATTGCTTCAGAGCTTTTTTTATTTGTTAATAAATTGGTGTTACTTTAGCTATCCTGCATCATCTGGTACAGAGGCTGATGTTAAGCCATTGGTTAAATAACACAGTTCTGCAATTTCACATTTCAGTTCCTCCAGAACTCTTGGGTGAATACCATCTGGTCCGGGTGACTTATTACTGCTTAATGTAACATTTGATTAAAAAAACCACCTCAACTTTGTCAGCTAAAAGAGTGGGACTCTCCCTCACATCCTCTTCAAGCTTTGCCTTCCTTGAGTGCTTCTGTTTGGCAGCCTTCTCATCTCTCTATATATTAAAAAAAATAACTTTCCTGTAGGACGACAGAGTGACATCATCATGTCACTCTGTGTCCCACCTGCCTCCTCCCTCTCTGTCCCCACCTCCTCTCCCAGCTCGAGCCCGACCTTGCTGCTTCCCCTCACCACTTGGGATTGCTCTTTTAAACCAGCCCCCTGCTCCCTTTCCTCCACCCCCACCCCACAGGGCTTTCAACGCCAAGAAACATGGCACAGTAGATGGCAGACCCCACACTACAGCTGTGACAACCCAGGGGCGGGAGGGAGGTTGCAGTGCTTGGGACAGTAGCCTGGGGACAGGCATTAGGAGCGAGGCTTGCAGCCAGGCTTATGTACCAGCAGTGGGCTCTGGGGGATTCCCCCGCCGCTGGTCATTTGGGGAGCCGGAGTGCGGTGCCCGTCTGGCTGCCCCTGTGGAGACTCACCCACTCCCCAGCAGCTGCTGAAGCCGCCGTACTGACCTGTCCGCTCCTTGCCTTCTGCTCCCAGCGGACGGGTAGCCCTAGGCTCTGTGGGCAGGGCTGGGGCAGTGAGCAGTGCAGGAGAGACCTCATGGGGGAGAGGTTGGGACGGCGGCCTCTTGCGCTGCTGCTTTCCCCACCTCAGCAGGCTGCAGGACCCCAGGGCACTGCATGCACAAAGCACTACCTTCACCTCGCCGTGCCCCATGCAGGGTGAGCAGGTACCACTGGCCTCCAGGGTTAGTCAGGCCTGATGCATGCTCAGCCGTGATGGGGAGGGTTAGAGTTGGGGGGAACAAAAGGAGGATGGGAGGGAGAAGGGACCCTGGCTCCCAGAGCTGGAGGAGAAATTGGGGGTCTAAGCTGGTGTGGCAGGGAAAGGGGAAGGGATCTGGGCTGGGGCAGGGAAGGGAGAAAGGACCCGGGCTGGCGTGGCCTCAGCCCAGCCCTCCCCCGGTGGCTGGGGAGAGAGTGGTGGTTGCCTAACCCCCGTGAGAAGAGGGTTGGTGAGCGCAACGAGCAGGGAGCACAGTTCCCTGGTGTGCTTTAAAAACCATTCTAAGAGGTATTTTGTGCAGAAAGATGCTTTTGTGTGGTTGTAGTAGGATCAGAGACTCTGTAGGATGTTCTTTGTGCTGCCATAAAAGATGCGCTAGCTAGAAAAACAACTTCCTGATTCAATACTGTTCAGTTTGTTTCAGTGCCTGGCTAACAAAAGCAGCAATTGCAATCTAGTTTACTTTGCAACTTTTTTCCCCCAGCCACTGGTGCGTCTACCACTGTGTATGAGACTGAAGCCAACGGCAATCCCAGCGCTGACTTCGACCCTGAAAAGGATGAGGGAGAGGTTCAATACTTGATCAAGTGGAAGAGCTGGTCTTATATTCACAGCACATGGGAGAGCGAAGAGTCTCTGCAGCAGCAAAAGGTGAAAGGCCTGAAAAAACTAGAGAACTTCAAGAAAAAAGAGGATGAAATCAAACAATGGTACGTTTTGCCTAAGATAAAAGTGGGTGTGGAGCCTTGCTTGGGAAGTTCTTTAATAGCAGGGGCCATCTAAGCTTAGCCCAAGTGATGGCTGTTCATACAACTTGTCTGCAGCTCGTGGGCCATGCTGGATCATTGCTGTCATCTTCAGTAAAGGATAGTGCCACTCGATATGCTGGGAAATTAAAAAGCCTTAGAATTTCTCATTTGCTCCTAAGGTTGTTAAGGATCAGTCAATGTTAAGGACTAATCACTGGCCCTGGGCTGTGCACGGATTTCTGCATTCCTCCTTTGAAATGTACAAGAGCCCCGGCACGGGATCTTGTACATTTCAAAGGAGGAATGAGAAAATGTCAATGTTGGTGGAATTTCCATTGACTACTCGACTAGTCAGTTAACCGCAATTTAACATCCTTATTTGCTCCTCCCTTGCCTGACCTGCGTTTCCTTCTACAAAGCATATCCAGCTACTAGTCGGGCTTGAGAACTGTTTCACTGTTATTGTGGTTGTGGCCATGATTTAAGTCAGATTGGAGGCAGTACTCAAGAAATCCCCCAAATCTGAAAAACTGGCCAAGTGCCAGAGAGCTAGTCACACATGGATGCTGTATGCAGAGGCTGCAGGTCCCAGAAGGTGGGAGTGCATGTACATGTGTAACTGTATTCCGATCAAGATGAGCAGTACAGTCTGGGACAACAGGCAACACCTTTGTTTTGATTAGGAGCAGCCACAGGCCATGTTGGTCAATCTTGGCTCAGACGTTGCTTCTTGGCTGCCCCTATTGAGTAATAATTAAGGGTATGTCTAGACTACATCCTTCTGTCGCCAGAGGGATGTAAATTAGACATACCGAAATTGCTAATGAAGCGGGGATTTAAAAATCCTGCGCTTCATTAGAATAAAAATGCCCGCCGCAGCACTTTGCCGGCAAAAAGCGGCAGTCTAGACAGAGATCGGTCGACAAGGAAAGCCTTTTCCAACTGATCCCTTATGCCTCGTGCAACGGGGTTTACAGGATCTCTTGGAAAAGGCTTTCCTTGTCGACCGATCTCTGTCTAGACTGCCGCTTTTTGCTGGCAAAGTGCTGTGGCAGGGGAAAACAAGCGCAGGATTTTTAAATCCCCGCTTCATTAGCAATTTCGGTATATCTAATTTACATCCCTCTGGTGACAGAGGGTTATGGTCTAGACATACCCTAAGGGCTTGACTCCACCAAGTTTTTATACTAGTTTAACTCAGCAGATTTAAACCCTGAGCATAACCTGATCCTTTAGAAGTGTGAAGAGTAGTTTATGATAAGCAATTGTCAGCTTGGATTGAGTTACCCTATCTCGTGAAATTATATAGGCAGGCAGGATTTTAATAGCTGGTTTACAAAGTGAGCAGGAGTAGAATTATTCTCAGTGTGCTCTGCCTCTTACCCTCATTTCTTTTCTCTCCAGGCTAGGCAAGGTATCTCCTGAAGATGTGGAATACTTCAATTGCCAACAGGAGCTTGCTTCTGAGTTGAACAAACAGTTTCAGATAGTGGTCCAGGCTGAGATTGATGGTGAGTGGGACGCTTTTCTAATAAGGGAATAGTAAGACCCAGAAATTCAAGTTTTACTTAGATCACAAAAACGAGTGTGTGGTGTTTTCATGCATTCCTGGGGAAGAAACAAATGCAACACCGTCTGTAATATGTAGAAATCTACCAGTTAAAGTATAGGAGTTCTGGATTGTAGTAATACATCTACAAACAACTTGAGCAAGTTACTTGATCTCTCTTTGCCACAGTTCTTCCCTTGTAAAGTGGTATTGGCCACATTTCCCAGGGACGCCATGCTTTTTAATGTATTGCTGTTTGTAAAGTTCTGTGAAATCTTTGGATGCAAAATGCTGTAGGAGAGCAAAGTAGAATGTTGTGAGGATCACTCTGGATGACATTGTGCAAGAGTGAAGCTTGCATGTCAGCTCAGGCTTTAGGTTTTCTCTGAGCAGTGACTAAATGTAGTAGAGTAGCTTTCAGAGCACCTCAATAACATCATGCTGATTTCAACAGGAGTTGTGGGTATTCCGTACCTTTGGCAATGAGGCCTCAAGAGTTGAGTGGTGTTTTCTGTCAATCTTCCCATGCACTGCAGAGAAGTTTTTTAAAACCCTCCTAACTGGTGGGAACTGTAGAATATATTTTATGCTCCCCATACTGATAATTAAGACACTAAAACCCTTGTTTATTTGCTTCTGTAAAACAGCTGTGAAGACCAACAAGTCTTCAATGGGACATTCTGACTTCCCAGGTAAAGTGTCCTTTAGCTCCATTTCTGGCTCCTCTAAACAATGCTATTAATTTGACCTGTCTTGTGGAGGTATTGGTCTCTGCCATAATTGCATTTCTGTCTGATGTGTTGCAGCTCACAGTCGGAAATTGTCCTCTAATGAGCCCGAATATCTGTGCAAGTGGATGGGACTGCCGTATGCAGACTGCAGCTGGGAAGACGAAGCTCTGATTAGCAAGAAGTTTCAACATTGCATTGACAGCTTCAACAATCGCAACAACTCCAAAACCATTCCCACGCGGGACTGCAAGGTTTGTGCGCTTCCCTTCTTTCTTGTCATTGGGTCTGCTCTGAGTTTTTTGAATGCCAAAGTTCTTACTGTATTTATATGATACACGGTGCAGGATTTTTTACAAGGGTGGTGATCACTTTAGAACTCCCTCATCCACATCAGTTTATTTTCTAGGGGTTGTCTGCATCCTTTCCAATTTTCCTCCCAGTTCTTAAGGCCCAGAAATATTCATCATCTGTTCCTTGAAAAACAGTGGCTAGGAAATCCCTTTGGAGCACTCTTTAATTCTTAGTCATCTGGAGGGGCTAACTGCTAAGCAATAAAAATCACTTTTTCCCTCCTGCTTAGCAGCTATACACACTGTCCTTTCAGCATGCTAATGCCATGCTGGCATAGAAAGCAGAGCCAAGAACTGGCATGAGCTAACGCAGGAATTCAAGGGAAATAACAGATAACAATAACAATAAATGTATCCTCTCTTCTGCAGTTCCTCTTGATCCAAGAGGAAATGAAGCATATAAATACTCTTCCTTAGTGGGAAAAACAGACTTCTGCTTAGTGCTGTTGTCTGCACATGTTTTTGAATGTTCACTGTTTTTGTACAATTATTTGGTCTAAAGCCATAGATAGATGAATCCCTTCGCATCTTATCCCATCTGTAAATTTGACACAATAATACTCATTTACCCCACAAGTGGAAAATGAGGCTTAATACTTGCAAAATGCTTTGTGAGCCACATATAATAGAGAGTTAGAAATGCAGGGTTTTTATTACTGAGAAAAAAAGGCAACACACCAGGAAGGAATAGGAATGGCGGCGGGGGGTTTTGCACCATATCAGTTACAATTAAGAGGGTGGGGTGATAGCAAGAGAAGGAAGCAAAGGAAAGAGGCAGAGAAGGTTGCTTTGACACTTCTGGTCAGCATGTTGCATGCCACGGCTTGTTTCATTTTGGGGGCTGTCCTACAGTTCTAATACTCTGTGTCTGGGTGGATATGCAAGAAATGTTAGCAAACTCTTGTCACTGATATTTGGATCTTGCTGCTGAATGTGTTTCTAAATTGCAGTTACAAGCACTATGTGTGTGTGTGTGTGTGTGTGTGTACGTACGTGTACACAGTGCTTTTTTGTAAACAGAAAATGTGCCGGTACTAGGGCTGCTGAGCAAAAAAAAAAGGGGGGGGGCAGGGGAAACTTGTTGAGCAGAGCAAAAAAAGGCTCTGAGGTCATGACCAAAATGCAGTCGCGGTCCCTTTAATTGCTGTGTGTCCTGAGCAGGCTTCTGTCCAGCACGGCCGGCTTGGGGGGGTGGGTGTGGGTGTGGGTGTGCATCTGTTTGTCACAGCGGTTTTTATTCACTGAGTTTAAAGGCCTATTCTTCAGTGAGTTTTAAGGATTCTGCCTTTTTAGGTATTGAAGCAGAGACCCAGGTTTGTGGCTTTGAAGAAACAACCTTCTTACATTGGTGGTGAGAACCTGGAACTCCGTGATTACCAGCTGGAGGGGCTTAACTGGCTTGCTCACTCATGGTGCAAGTATGTCATCCTCTTGTGATGGGTAACACTCTGGTTTTGTTCAGGGCGGTAGCATTAACTTGTGCTTAGAGCTATCGAGCCATCTTTATTCCTAATGTTTCCCTGTTACATCACAGGAGGATCTGGCCCTGTTTTGATGTTTTGTATTTTTACCTGTCCTACTTTCTGCACTTTTAAAGCTCAGGATCTCAAATGTTGTTGCATGCATCCAT